TATTGCCCTAGAGCTTTGATTGTGCCTTACCGGGCTGTAGCGTCACACGACTCATAAGCTCGAGTGCCATTATAGGTTTAAGGAGCCATACAAAAGCTAGAGGTTGGCTATTAGTGGGGAACCTAATCCGGTTTATGTCGTTGCCATGGTTACAGAGGCCCGTCAGCGCCGGAGAGCAGTGCATTTTAAAAACACCAGCTTCGTGTGTGCACAGTGAGAATAATATTGTTTGTGCATATATTATTAGTTAATCTGTGGCATTTTATTACACGGACGTCTTTAATTCACATAAAACTCAAGTTCTGCATACTTGTTCCAAACCCGAATATTATGTCGCTTGTATAGCCTAGTAAGCAGTAGGCTATATTTATTTTGCACGTAGCCTCTTTGATGTTTATAAGTGTAGGCGTATTTGTGAGTATTTTGATGCACTAAACACGAGTGTAGGCTACTGTACTTAGACAAAGCCTACGTTTTGTTCTGTGTCCTCCTTCTTTTACTAACCTACATGTTATAGCATAAGGGTTAGTTCATTAGTTTGTGCGTAATTAGTCTAAAATAAAAATGAAATAGGCTCGATATAAACTATACCGTAGATAGGTAAAAAAATTTACATTTTATATAAATATACGTCTTAAAATATATTTTTATGTTTGCATAGTTATGGCAAGCCGTTCAAAAATAAAGGGATATATTGATTGAAACGCTGAATATATTGAATGAAACTTGAGAATATATATATGATAAAAGTCTGAATATATATAATGAAAATCTGAATATATTGATTGAAATTTGAATATATTGATTGAAACTTGAGAATATATATAATGAAAGTCTGAATATATATATATAATGAAAAGCTGAATATATTGAATGAATCTTGAGAATATATAATGAAAGTCTGAATATATTGATTGAAACTTGAATATATTGATTGAAACTTGAGAATATATATAATGAAAGTCTGAATATATATATATAAAATGAAACCTCACGTCATCAACGCGTGCGCCATCTTGTGTTTTAACTGGGTGTTTTTCATTTGCTCAGTCTACTGTGAAGTTGACAAAGAGCCAGTCAGCAAGAAATTTAGTGGCTGCCATCCTAAATAACGAAGAAATAATTAACACACTAGCGAATGCGTGCAGCACCCAAGAAAATACCATAAACCCCACCCAATATAGTACCACTAATGACGAAATTTATTCACTGTTTAATTGAGGACAGCCAAAATAGCGAGTCTTACTAGCCAGACTGTTCCTAGTCAACAGGCTAGTAGTAGCAACGTTACAGAAAGAACCTTAGCGCTAGCGTAACGCTAAAAGTTGTACTCTCACAGGTGTCTGCAAACTGCCTTAAAATACCCATAGACAAGTGCATTCCTCTTCTAATGTACCTTTTATAAGCAGACCATGTAGTTAGTTTGACTTTTGTTAAAAGAAAATAAAAAAGAAATACTTTTTATTTTTTAAATCCAGCCCTTTTGTAGTTATAGTCTCAGTACTGCCAGCAGAGAGACACTTTCATCATTCAGTGCAGGAACAAACTGTTTATCCACACTAACAGTGTCTATCACATCACTACACATTTCAGACCCATTTTCCACTTAACCATTCTGCTTGCAGTTTATAAGGGGGCAGCAGGTTAGAGCCCCTCAGTTCTGTGTACTTTCTATTTATCTATATATTAACACAAAATAGCATGTTAAGAAAACAGAACAGAACAAGGAAGACAAGACACTAGATATGGACATTACAAAAGAGACACAGAGGGTCTTACATTTGGTTTGTGTGTGATGTGTGGGTGTGTTCATCTCTATGCAGTCTCTATGCAGATAGAAAATTTAAAAAAAATGAAAAGGTGGGAGGGCAAATACTAAATCATAAATGTAAAACGGGGGGTAAGGCGGTGACGAGGGGCCCCACCCCCCCCCCCACCCACTGGCCAAGACAGCGTAGCATTACGTTGCTATCTAGTCACAATACTCCCTGAGGTAGCTTGGCAGTAGTCAAACAAGTTCAAACACTTGCACACAGAAGTCCACAGGGAAAAGGAAAAAAATAAAACGCATGGTTTGAAATGTTGTCCAACTGAACACATGGAACACCTACAAGGTCAAAGCTTTGAAAACTTGTTCTCAACATCAGTGTCTTATAATTAATAAAGGGTTCCTACATTTTCTGTTCTGTATTTGTATTTTTCCTCCATGGTCTTTGGTTATTTGAGAAAAGGGAAAATGCCATATACTGTACTTCTGAGCACCAATAACAAATTGGCAACAGGTAAATCATTTTACTTTGACTGGTGCTTATTTAGCCATGAATATTTCATGTCAATGAAATCAGATTCTCTGGGACTTTCAGCAGTTTTCATGTGGTTTATTTTTATGATTAAAAGTATTTATTGTTTACATGTATATTAACCATCATATGCATATCATTAATGTGGATGCATCCTATGTAACCTTACAATGTATGGCCCTTTTTATTTATTTTTTTAATACATCTAAGATGGTCCAATAGGCAATTACAATCTTTATTTTATAAAGGAATTTTAGGAAACTATGGGAAACAAGCTGACATACTGTAAGTATTTTGACTTGTTGCAAGTTTTTAAGAACTTTTTTAAAATGTAATTTCAGTTATCACATCATCCAGGTATGTCTGTTTATCCTGTCAGGGATGTTATGGGGTTGCCCAGAGAGCATCCACAGAGTGCTTTCCTCAGTGAGGGTTATTCTGCACCACTAAACATGCTCAGCACAGTGAAACAGCTTGGACCTTGAGGCTCAAGCCCATTTCCCTGATGCAACTCTGCCCCAGCCCAGGGCTCTCCAAGGCCAGCGTGTTGCTTGCTCTTGGATAAGGATTGGAGCAGAAACACAAGAGGAGCATAGCTATCAGCATGCACTTTCAGTCCAGAAGCCAGAACAACTTCAGGCTGTTACGAGTGCTTCTGGACTAGGTCATAGAGAAATATGAGCATAGGGTAACCCACTCCCCTCCACCGGCACTTTTACCTCCATCCCATAACACCTCCCTGTTCCTGAACTCCACATACTGACAGCGAAGAGGGAATAGAGAGAGAGAGAGAGAGAGAAAAGCAGGCAACTCATTTTAAACTTGGCTCTCCTTTTGAGGACAGCGCAGGACTCAGCAGATGTTTGAGAGAGCAGGGACTATACAGGTATGGAACAGCAGGCACAGATTGTTCCCAGAAGCCTGTGTGGGGGATAAAGGCACAAAGCACAAGATTTCAAAACACCTGTGCTTAGGTGGAATGTGACACAATCCATGGACACAAAAACAGCGTATATAGTAATTTTGGCATTTTAAACAAGTAATTTTACTTATTACATTTTTATATAGAAGGGGATTATGCTGCAGAAGTTGTTCAGAAGCTTCTATGTATAATATGTTTCCTGCCAAGGAGATGTGGCAATAATTTTGCACAGGAAAAATTACTATAACAAAATGTAATTTCTTACATACATAGCAGGTTTTTCAGGGTTACAGAGGAGTACATGTAGTACAGTAGCAATAGCTTCTATTTTTATTGCTGTGTATGCTACAATATAATGATGAAGGTATAACAGATATATGTTTTGAGTTGTTTGTCACTTATATTGTTGTTGCTTGCTGGTGTCTTTTTTGTTTATGTCTTCTCTTTGTTG